AACCAAGATTAACTTCATTTCTAACCGAGATAAAATGAGGTTTTTCGATGTTGTGATTGTGATTGCCTCTTTTTTTTCTCATTTCTTCAAACACCTAAATTGATTTCTTCAAAGAAGACCTAAGGTTCGCATATATGAACATTTTATCGTCCATTATGAGTGTCTATCTAGAACTAAAAACTTCATAGAGTTCTCTATGAAACTCTTGATAACTTTCACGAGCCTATACAATTTTATTCAAACGGTCGTGAAATCAAATATACAAGAATAGTTCATAACACGATTCGTAAAATGAAAACTCAACTTTAGATATGTCTGAAAAGTAGGGCAGAAAATGAGTCGAGTCGATTCGAACTTGCCTCAACTCGGCTCGACTCGTTAAGAATTAGTCTAGCTCAATTATCGGTTTGAGTGCGACTCAAACTTTTTTGTAAGCTCAAACTCGGTTCGTTATAAGTTCACGAACAACTCGATTATACTCGTTAGATTCAATTTGTTAGGTTCAGCTCGCTTACTTCACGGACTTAAAAGTTGTTTTAAAGTCTATATATATATATATATATATATATATATATATATATATATATATATATATTTGATATTTTAAATTAATAATATTTTAAAAAGAAAATATTAAAATAAAATAAAAATTATCATATTGGAATTTAATTGTCTCAAAAATCAACTCATTCGAAAATTATATAATTTATATGATGTTGATTTTATTTGTATAATCATTTTTAAAAACATTTGCTTGTTTGAGAATATAAATTATCAATTAAAAATGTTAGATTAAAAGAAAATATAAATTTAAGATTTGGAGTAAATCTTTAAATCTAATTTTAAAGACAATATAATTATTTTCATATATAATCGAGTTGAACTTATGAATCTAACAAGTTAAACTATATATAATTTAAATTCAATTAATTTAATTAACAAATTTAATTTTTTATTCATATTCAATTCATTTGATTCATGAATCAAATTTAACGATGTAATTATCAAACTGGATTTTAAATTATTTTCAAATTAATTCAGTTTATTACCTATCCTACCGAAAAGGAATAGTCGATAGTTTTTTATCATTTTGATATTGATCAAAATGATATATTTTCCTAAAACAAGAAAGATTAAAAAATACAATTTAGAAAACATTAAGGATCCTTCATCTTTCAAGAAAACATAATGATTTTGTTTTTACATCTTGTTGAAATTTAAGCACATTTAAAGTACATTAAAATCTGAATGTATTGTTGTGTCGTGCTCAAATTTACCACTCCTACTAAATACACGTAACCATTATATTATTTTGTAAATTTCTTAACCTATTTGATGACTTTTCTTACGTGTGAAATTCTATAAATATTTTTTAAAATTAGAAATATATTTTTGATGCGTATATAAATCTGATAAAGTATATATAAAAATCAGAAATTTAATTTTGGTTTGGAGTCGAAGGTGTATTTTCAATTTTATTCTTTACAGAAACCATAAAATATTATTGAATTGTATCATAATCTCATAATACAATTCATAACATAAACATATCAAATATATTTAGGAGTTAAACATAAATCAAACATTACAAATCAACGTTAAGATAGACGTTGTAACATTATGATAATATCATCGACCGATCTTGTTATAGTCGCATCTAGCTCAATCAGAACTTTCTCCTCAAAACTGTCAAAAATATTCTACATAATCTGTAAAGCAGCGTCATTCTTCAGCTCACGGTTGATGAACTCAAGTTTCTCATCTTTGTCAACCGATGGCGAACGTTACTCGATCTTCACTCAAACATGATCATATTGATTACTGTTTTAAGTAACTTGCATCGTCCATAAAACCGGAATTATACTTCTGATTATATATGAAATATTAAGGTGACAATAAAATTCACTTTTCCCGCTAATAGAACCGGAAACAGAATTCTGGTTTAGAATCGAAAGTATACCTCATATACCGTTTTTGTATTTTGAAGAGTGAAATCACATTTGATATATTTTGTGTACAATATAGTGCGAACCAGAAATATATTTCTGATTTTCTGAAGAGCAATTTCAAAATTACATAAGATTGTTCCTTTTTCATATGAGGTAGGGTAAGAAATCCTCCATTATAACTATTTATAACTATTTATGGAACAACAATTTGAAAAATGTGTCCTTACCTCATGTTTGACTCAAAATGTTTAATGAAGAATTTTGTTTGACTTTTGACTGTCATCCAAAAACGTAATCTCAGTGATACATTTTCAAAAACGTAATTAAGGATAAAATTGAATTTTTATATGATTTTTTCAATGACATGAAGTGAAATAAAAAATTCCATAAATTTATTACACGAAATGATTGAGGGCTACACAGAATGTTATACAATTTAGTTCAAAATTGTTTTTTTTCATATTCCTTGGTAATACAAACATTCATAAATGTATGATTCCATTGAGAGATGCACAAGCAATCCCTAACCACCCCCAAGGAGCAATTGAGCTTCTTCAAATCCTGCATGTAAAGCTTTTAATACTACTCCTTCTCCAAATCAAGAGAAACAATGGCACACAAGGAACTACCAAAAGCACGTGCTAACCAATTAACCGTGCCAGTCATAAACACTCCCGGTCCATAAATGTAGCCATGACATGGAAAGTCCTATATCCTTCTCCAATAATGAGTACCCATAGTATTATCAATAACTTCGGTTTGGTTTTTAATGCATAATGAGATTCCAAAAGTCTTGTGTCTTAATAGGTGTTATTCTTTTTCACCGTCAAATCTAAACTCTTAAGATTATTTTAAGGGGTTTCTTAATCCACTCTTGCATCTTTTTAGAGATTACTAATAAAATTCTCATAATATCTTCAGAATTAAGATATGTATATCTGAACTCATCATATTTAATTTTTTATTAAATAGTTTCAGATATGTATATTCGAAGACACTTGAAACCAAACCAACTTAATATAGATTTAACATAAATAGTCGAAATTACATAGATTGTTGAACAGAAATTTAACGTTACATATTGTTATAAATAGGTAGTTGAGAACGTCGCAACATTTTGATAAAATCTTCTCCCGATCATTGAAGCTTTGCATCCATTTCAATTAAATCCTTAGTAGAGTATCGTTGAAAAGTACTACACATAACATTTAAATCGACATCCGTCTTCAGCTCAAACTTGGTGAAATTTATCTTACCTTCGGTGTCAAGTGAGGGTGAACGATACTCGACCTTGACCACCTTTAGATTTTCTGGATATTGCAAGAGAGAATTCAATGTGGTAATCAGACCGGTGAAAGGCGTGTCCTCGGAGACCCAAAACTACCGTAACGACATGTTATCGTTGAAGTCGACAAAAGCAAGGTGAGGATATGTTTGGCACATACCTGTTTATGGTTTGTGATGTTGAAGAAATATTTTAGAGAACCTATTTATAAAAGAGATGGAGCAATTTAGACCCAAGAATTCGTATCTTGTCACCAGTGCATATTTCAGATATAAACATCTGAATTAACCTTTTTTTAACGTAATTAGGGGGTTTCGGATAGGCATATCTGAAATAACCCTTATTTTGTATTTTTAAAATTGAAGATTCGTTCAGATATGAATATCTGAAATAACACATGTTCTATTTTTTTTAAAGAAGACAGGTTATTTCTGATATGCATATCTGAAATATGCAGAACCAGTGACAGATTCAGTTTTATCTGAACCAGTACCATAGAAACGTGGAAAAAATTTAATCGGTAAAAGTAAACAGCGATAAAATGTTTAATAGACGTATTATATATGTATTGAATCATATAGATTTTAAATTATGCACGACAATACATTCAAAAAATGGTTCAATTACATTCTAAAATACACCGAACGAATTGTCACCGCTTAAATCTAAAACAGGTTCTTTCTTCGACTTCTCCCTATTTGATTCTCTCTCAAGCTCCGTCAATTTGGTGAACTCTGTCATTCTTTCCAAAAAGTGATCTAGCCAAATTTTTCTCTTTTGTGAAATGTGTCGTCCACTCCACTAATATAGCCGAAATAGGACACCCCGATTTCAAATAAACTTGAACAAAATAGCGTGATCTAAGATACTCAATGCAAATGACGTGGTCGTATGAGTCTTGAGTTGGGGGACTCCAAAGTGGAAATAATGTTTTCAAAAAATCATATCTCATCAAATTGATACACATCATTTCATATGCACTTGCTATAAGATGGTCCATTTCAGGGAAGCTCGTCTATTTTTCAACTGGTGAACGAACACTAACACTTGGAATAAGAGCATTGTGAACTTTATTGAATGCTTCCTTAGTCACATATAGTCGTTTGTAAAGTTCCCTATGTACAGTCAACTCCAAAATAAGTATTTGGCACACAAGAGTGTGTTTCTCCTCTCCTTTACCAAATAAGTCGGACACGGCCAGAAACCTGGAATTACCATCACTCCCCATATTTATGATTCTTTCAATGTATTTGTGCATAAAAAGAGGCATCTCATCAATGTGGATAATCGGAGGTGGAAGTGGTAGATTTCTAATCGGAGGTGTATGTGGTGTTTTTTAATAGGGTGTGTACGAGATGGTTTGGAAATGTGAGCTCCTTGAAAACACTTATTTGCGATTTTGAAGAATCTGGGAATATGGAATTAACACCTTCATGGTAAGACGGAGTCCGCTTTATTGAATTGTCTTCTTGTGTAATTTTCACTTTTTTGGGGCACCTTTGATTTTTACCGGTTCCAAATGAGTTTTCAAATCAGTGGTTTCTAGATGACGGTTTTCCTCAATTGTTCTTTTATGTACAATCTCATAGTATCATCCGCTTTAGAAAATTTATCCATGATCACTTTCAACTTGTTTGCAATGGTTATACTCGATGTACCATCCTTTGTTGCATTGTGGTCATCAAACCAAAGTCTTTTCCAATGATCGTAGACCTGGTCTATACATATGGGGGAATTTAGATTCATGTCTCTGATCACTTAGTTTCATGAAAAATGAAATTCAATACTGCCCAAGATATATTGAGAACCAACTACGAGTAGAGAGTGTTTTCTTTGAATCGGTGTTCTACCATGATTATGCTCCGACCAGAAGTTTTTTGAATTTCACTATGTTGGTTTTGGAACATTTAGTTCACAATATCTCATTCTCTACAAAGATCTTGTTATCACCAAACCATGTCTTCAATGTCGAATGTGTACATTTGACTCTATTAGATGTTGTGTTTCCCAAATGTCTTCAATGTCGAATGTGTACATTTGACTCTATTAGATGTTGTGTTTCCCAAATGTCTAACCCGATCCGTCCAACCACACGCAATTTTCTCTTTCACCTGATCAAAAATAGTATATTCATCGTATTTCAAAAAAATTGAATATTTCACACAAGCTTTTGAAATATACCACATTCTTAGCATACAACTCTTCTGTATAAGAATTTAATATATTCATCCATGCATTCGTTATCTTCTCCACCACAACACTAGATTTGACCATGTCTCAATCTTCACCCTTGATTTCTTTATTGTCAACCGCGGGTTTTAGCTTAGCTCTTACATTTTTTGTTATGTGATACCGATAAAATAATGTGTATGAAGTAGGAAACATACTTCCAACCGCATTCATAAGGGTGTTACTCCATTGCTCTTTTTAGGCCAAAATTGCATAAAGGTGTCTAGTAGATTGACCTTCTATAATCTGTCGTTAGAAAAACTTGCATTTAATTCACACGAATTAATAAATAAATAAATAAATAAATAATCATTCATACATATACATTATGCATTATAATCCCTAATCTAATAAGAGTATCACAAATCATAATCCTACTAATACATAATTTCTACACAATATACAGTCAAAACTTAACGCCTAGAGAGGAAATATGATCCATCTTACTCATCACAAGACTGCATAAACAACAAGTTCTCCAATTGACCAGGTGGCGTTACTCTCTTCCTGACCAACATATCTACCGTAGGAAATTTTCTCTTCACCCCTCCCCTTGGCCTTGACCTGAATTCTTCATCAGCTTCTTCAAAATCACCCTATATATCAAATAAACCTTGATGAGCATTTCAATTCATCACAAATTCGTATACCACAAGAACAAGCAACAGAACTTACAAGGGTAAAAAGATGTTTTGCCGTCTTTTCATGATTGTCTCTCACGTGTTTGTAAGCAAATCTCATGCCACAGTTAGGAAATCCACATACAAAATGCCTTAATTCTAAGTGTACTGCCTTCTCATGCTTTCGAAGATTAGATTTCTGTTGATGCAAACCCCCAATTGGATATTCAAAGTTAATAAAGTATGACACCAAAAATATTAGAATTAAGGTAGCATGTATGCAATGACAATGTAGGAATCTTACAGTTGAGAATGTGCAGTCACAATCCTCAAATTCACATTTAAAGGGTTCTGATGAAGTGCTTGCTTCGTGTGTACGAAGATGCCTTTTCATGTTCTTCTTCAGTTGCTTAGTCCCACAAGTGTCACAGGTTACATATTGATGGCAGGACTTAACATGAGCCTTAAGGCACTCGGAATTGGTGAAATGTTTCAAGCAACCCGGCTCTAAGCACACCACGTCAACTGTCTCCAGCGTAACTGCATAATAAACACTTCATTCAAAATTGTGCCAACACATGTCCGAAAATCCAAATAAACGACAATACTACAAACATTCCATGGAACAAAAGTAATGTAACATACCATGAGAATCCTCATGCTTCTGTAGCTGTGATGCATATCTGAAAACCTTTCCACAGCCAATTTCAGGACATAGAAACTGCTTCGGATTTTCACTATTCCTAGCAGGTGTAGAATTTTCATCATGCATCTCGCCAATATGTCTTTTCAAATTGCTCTGCAAAGAGAAATCACTCTTGCAATTCTCGATGGGACATTTGAAATTTTTCCCTTGATGTTGTAGAAGGTGACGATTCAAATGGTCCTTCCTTCTGTAACTTGCATTACAATCCTCAAGGTTACATACATACGGCCTCTGTAACAAATCACACCAAAAAAAAAACATGTTAAAGCAAGGACACAAAAAGAAAGTTAAAAACTGACAAGTACCAATAAACTATGCTAAGGACGAGAGAGACATGTATGAACAAACTGCCAACCTCGTTTTGGATATTGAGCGTGACCGAGGCATATCCTTGATGAAGCTTCTCAGGAGGTCTCCCAACCTGATACTAATCCATCAAGGCCAAGCGTGATGCCTCGCGCATATTGGAGTTCTTTCTCTGGGATCCAAATGCTTCACACAATAAATGTCCATAATTCTATAGATCATTTTAGTGTCTAAAACATTATTACTTCCTGCAAAAACATCTATCTTTAGACCATTCATATAAAATTCTGGTTCAACACCAAATAAAGAAACAGGCATATGATCTTCATATTTGTCCATACAAACAATCCAATTATACAGAATCCCTAATGACTGAATAAATTAATTAAATTTTAAGTAAAAAATCATGAAAAATCAGAAGCCATAATTCAGAATGAAAATTGTTGTTAAGCAAATACCTCAAGGGAATGGCTTTGCATATGCTGCAACAAATAAGCATGTTTTTTGAAACTAGCACCACACTCCTCACATGTATTAGCTTTCAAAGTAGCCTCTGCTTCATGTTCAGATTCATCTTTTGCTTTCTCTAACTCTTCCTAAAATACCCACATAAAAATTCTCATCAACAATCCGATATACCATTATAATCAATCACACATACTCGAATTTCAGAGATCTGAATTATAATAGTAGAATAATTAAACAAAATAAAGAGAGAAAAAAAACCCTAAAAAAAACGAAGTTCGATTCTTAAGAAATTGAGTGACCCGGAAGGCTTAAAGTGTAGATCAAAGATTGAATTTGATAAAAAATAATACCTTGTGTTGGGAATTGATGTGGGAGGTGATTAGGGTTTTTTTGGACCTACAGATGTTGCAGTATGGGCAGAAATAGCGTCTGATGTCACTGAATTTTGGTAATTCGTCGTTTAGCAAAGCTTCTTCCATCGATTGATCAAAGGAATTGTTGAAAAATTGCAAGGTGCGATTTGAAGAATGTTGAAGGGGTGAGAGTGAATGAGACGAGGATTAGGGTTACAGCGAAACGAGATTGAGAAGTGTATATATAAGCTTTACCATACGATGTCGTTTTTTCGTACTAATTAATAAAATAATTTTATACCGTCATTTAATAAAAACTAGTGGGATATCCGTACGATTATATGGGCGTGTGTCGTGTTGTGCGTATTTATTTAAAATATTATTTTTATTAAATAGAAAAATTTGTAATTAACAAAAATTTGTAAGTAATTAAAAAGATGTAGAAAATATTGTAAGAATATTATTATGATAAATAAAAATTTAAAAATTAATTAGAAAAATTTGTAATTAATTAAAGTGATGTTAATTAAGAAAATAAATATACTAAAAAATATGTGAAACTAATTGAAAAGTGCTGAAAAAATATGCGATTAATAAATATATGTAAAATAAAATATAATATATAATAACTAAATGAAAATATATTCAATGTATAAAAAGGTATTTAGAATGAAATATAGTATACAGGTAGTAAATGAAAACATAGACGTATAGTATTAAATGTAAGTGTTTTTTTCTTTGTGCACTAAATTTAATTTTTATATAATTTATGTATATGTTATTGACGTACAGTCCTAATAATAAATGTTAGGCATGTTGATAAAGAAATGTATAACAAACAGAATGTCATGCTAAACCGTCTAAAAGTAAAAGGTATAATAATCAAGTTGGTGTCTGTTTAGAAACATAAAAGGAACATCATATATTTTTGAGATAGACGAGGCTTAACAGTAACTCTGAAATATATCAAATAGTGAGGTTACAAATTCATATATTACACACTCTAAAGCAAGAACAACACAATACAAACTAACAAAAGAGTTGGACTATACAACATGATAATTCCACAATCTATCTATTGTGTGTGTATATTGAAGTTATAGAGTTAAATTGTAGCATAAAAATTACTTATTGGTGAAGAGGAATAATATGACACGATGGACACGTCGACACTGCTAATGTCAAAAATATAAGTCACAAACACCAATATATAAATATTTATTTATACATCATACTTAAATAACATATGAAAATTATGTATAAAATATTCAAATTGATAATCAAAATATATGAGTGCATATCTAAATTGAGCTCGAAAATTATAGAACTATATGATAGTTTTTCACTTCCATTCATTTCTCTATTACCGAGAAGCTGAAATTGATGTACATTTATGTCATTAACCCTCTCATAGATCATCATTGCTTCGACATTCCTTCGTTTCGATTCAAGGGACAGACACGATTTGGTAACCCTTATAGAGTTCAAGTATGGCGATGCAAAATGATTAATGTTAGACTCTTCGTGGCTGGTTAACTGGTTTGGGAATTTCGTATCCTGCAAGCTAGGTGATGACTCTTGTATTGATACGTGGAGGAACATTTGGCTTGATGGTGAATATCTTATGTTGCAATTTCTCACTGTTTTTTGTTGTTTGCATGTGTCTAGAATCAAAATTAGTGATTACAGATGTGTATAACTATAAATGGCGTTTGGCAGTGGTCTCTCTCTTCATCTCAAACTCCATTGTCGTATGCTGCAGAATCATAGAGGAATGAGCTCTACAGCGTCTTATCTATGTTATCTCCCTCAGCCTCTGTCAAAGACAAGTTTGCTTATGTTCGTTTTGTTTTTAGTCAACTCTGTTATTGACTTGTGTAAGCTTCTCAAGGATAAGTTGCAAGCTGGTGAATTGGTTATGAAAGTTCTCTTTGATAAGGTTAGCTCCGGTTCACTTTTTTATGTAAATTTTATTGACTTTCAATTCAATGTTGATAAGAAGCATGGCTATTGTTAACTTGTTTTGACAATTTGATGTGCATGATTATAGGTATTTTCTCTAATTGAAGAGTCGGAGTCAAAATATTTGCAAACTACGATGGAGTTGATTTCAGAAATGAAGGATAAGCTTGGCCTTGTGCCTTCACAAAAATGTTATGATTCTCTGCTTGCTTAGTGCAAAGCCAATGATAATTCTCACAATGCTGACTGAGGCTCCTTAATAAGATTGTATATGTAGTGTTCATTTCTATCTCTCTGTTGTATTAGTCAGTTTAGGAGAAGTTTGATATACAACAGGAAAAGAGTTAGGAGTTGTTCATTGGAATTTATGTGGACATAATCCAATTTTAAAGTTTGTAATCGACACTATTAACTGTATAGCAGTTTATATACTCCCTGCACTAAAAAGGTTGTGCTTTAGGAGAAATATGGAGAAATATGTGTATAACACCCACAAACAGTTGAGTTTTTTTAAGGAAATAGTTAAACACAATCAAGACAGTTATTTCCATTGTAACGACACCTGATGAAGATGACTGTAACATTATAGACAGTAGGTTTATCGCTCGGTGGAATCTGGATATAGGCTCGTCAACAGTAAGTCAGTTAAAGTCAAAGTACAAATAGAGTGATGCCATTGAAAAAATTATGATGCGAAAATATGAAAAACATGTTTATTTGAATAGGTAAACCAAGATTCACTGGTTATAAATTGAACCATTACATTTTACAAAAACGGAACCTATAAAAACAAAATGTGAGCAACCCTTTTTTTAAGTAGTTTTGTATAATAGCAAATATGTGTGAAAACAGTATTAATGAATGTTTAATGTGCTTAATCTATATGTGTGCATAATATGACAATAGTATAACATGTTCAAAAAGAGTCAAAATGTGTTTTACACATAAAGCACAATTTCAAATTGATACACAAGGTCTTGCATCGACACATACTTAGTCAAAAATGTGTTTTACACATAAAGCATAACTTCAGGTTGATACATAAGGTCTTGCGTCAACACATACTTAAGCAAAGAATCACAAAAACAATTCTGCTTCAATATGAGTCGATCCATTCATACTTTGCATCGATACATGTCAAGTTGATACTCCTGGAAAACGTTTTAAAACCTTTATGCATCGATACATAAACTCATACATCGATACATATCACGTTTTGTTTTCAAAATAAAAAATCAACTCAGTATGTATCGACACATACTCGTTATGTATCGACTCATATAAAATGAATGGTTATGGATACTTTATGGAAAACATATTGTATCGACACATAAAGACTTGTATCGACTCATACATATTTGATCTCTCTGTAATATGTTTTGCCATCAGTATGTATCGATATATAATAGATTGTATCGACTCATCTTATGTTTCACAACTAACATGAGTCAACTCATGTTAAACATGCATCGACTCATACTGCATTTTTTTCACCTCTAACCATTTTCTGTTACATATATAAGTAAGTATTTGCAATAAAAATAGGGGGTGTCACAAATATAGTTGGTGTGCATCAAATTTCTGAGCATTAGAAACTTGAAATATACTTTATCTTCATAATCTTCTCAATCATCTCGGTTCAACAACAACGAAAGATAAACATCTTTGTTCATTGGATCAAGAGATCATAGAGATAACGTTCAGTGGTACAATCAGTGATCTAAGTTGAGTTGAAGATTCAGAAGGGGGTTTCGAGGAAAAACCAATGGGTCTATCCTTCAAGAACGGGCGTGTTCTTACGGGTTTGTTAGTCACGATTGCACAAGTCAGATTCAGCCGTAGCAAGGGGTTTAAAAATCGGGGCGATTTCGCAAACAGGTCGTGGAAGCGGAGGACTGATTGTGGATCTTGCAGGGAATCTTGATAAGCTCATATCAAGTGATGGTTCTTACAAGAAGAAGAAGATCTTAGAGATTATATTTTGTCTTTGTATTGTAACATTGTAAACAACATTCAGCAAATTGATATGACAGGTCTCAATTTCAGTTTTGGAATTGAGAGGGAGACGTACCCACACGCGAGGACGACAGTGGGGAACTTTCTTACCAAACTGCATGTGTATTTTTTTCTCTCTCTCTTTCTCTTTACGTTTTCTGCAAGTTTGTGATTTAATTGGTTTGATGGTTTTTCTGTTTAATGATAAAATAGTGGTACAAACTCTTTTGCTAAAACCACCACTATTGTTGATCATCGAACAAGCATACATCAACTGCTCGACAAAATTGCGTGCAAGTTTTTATTCATTGGAAATAGCATTCTTGTGATAAGTGCATTGAAACGTACATCAATCTTTGTTTAATTTTCATCTATTTCATCTTAAATAAAATCCAGCAAGTTTATCGTATGTCTGGTTTTCTAGTAGTTGGTTCAAAATAGACGGAAGTTAATTCGGGACCGTGTTTTTCTGCTGTTTTTAATAAACTTTAATAATAAAATTTAAATCCTTGATAAATACAAAGGTGATCTATTCACCCCCCTCTCGATCACTTGCCACACCGTCTAACACAAAATGCTCCTAAAAAATCTAAAAAAGACTAATACATGTAGCAAAGTACAATAAAAATGAATTATACATCATGAAATTGAGAAGTTTATTTCTCCATAGATATAATTGATTATAGGCTTATTTGATCATATTTCTATGTGTATGTTCGTCCCAGTCGGTAAAGTCTGTATACTTCAAATATTGCATTGTGTTATAGGATATGCAGATCCACATGCCGGGAAAAAGCTATGTATCTTCTTGAATGCACCGTAGCTATCCAGAAATTTGTTGTTCCAGAATAATATACCTGTATCTTGTGTTTAATAGCAGTAATAGTACGACACTAATGTGTTTAATAGTAGTAGTAGCACAACAATAACTTGTAAATACAACTACCATGAAAGTGTCACGCATAATCATCCAAAAACAACATAATATATAACATAAGATTGTCCATCATAAACGAAGTTATTACAACCCAAGGTAACTTAAGTCAGTTGTTACATATCCAAATAAAAAATGAAAAGAAACACGAAACCAAAATAAGAAACATAAGAAACTATAGCATTGCCCATTCATCCTTTTCTAACTTAATAATCTTTTTAAGCTTGTTCGGCGA